CAATGATTTGTTCATTTCAAATACCTTCTTTAGACAGCAGAAGAGACGACTATACACATGATGCAATACATAAAATCAAACTGACAACATCTGCAGAAACAGAAAGTGGAAAAGCTCCATATCATCAGTGAAAACAAGGCCAGGGGCAGACTGGAACAGACAATTACTCATATGCAAATTCAAACTGAAGCTGAAGAAAATGAAAACAAGTCCATGACTTTGAATATGTCATGTGCATATTATAGATTGTTGATTGGTCTTCCTCTAATCCTGATGCCACATTCTTCTTCATATAATCTAGTGTTCAGGTTATTTGCTCAGCATACAAATTCAATAAGCATGGTGAAAGGATAAAATGTTGGCACACATCTTACTTGATTTTAAACCATTCGGCATCTCTTCATTTTGTTTGAAGGACTGCCTCTTGGTCTATGTACAGATTCCTCATGTGTACAATTAAGTGTTCTGGAATTCTTATTCTTCTCAATGTTAACCATAATTTTTTGTAAAACACAGAGTTGAGAGCCTTTGCATAATCGATAGAGCACAAGTAAACATCTTTCTGGTATTCTCTACTTTCAGCCAAGATCCACCTGATGTCAGCAGTGATATCCCTCATTCTACATCTTCTTCTTAATCTGGATTGAATTTCTGGCAGTTCCCTGTAGATGTACTTTTGCAATTGTTTTTTTAATTATATTCAACAAAATTCTATTTGCAAGTGATATTAATGATATTGTTTTGATGAGTTACGCATCCAGTTGGGTCACTTTTCTTTGGAATGGACACAAATATGGATCTCGTCCAACCAGTTGACTAGGTACTTGCCTTCCAAATTTTCTAGCACAAACAAGTGAGCACCACAAGAGCTACTTCCATTTATTAAAATCCATCAATGCCTGAAGCCTTGGTTTTCACCCGAGTGAAGTTCTTCTTTCTAGTCTGTCTTAGTCTGAAAGCTCTGATGAAACTTGTCTGCCATGGATGAACCTACTGGTATGTAAAATACTGATGGCATAGCTTCTAGCATCACAGTAACACAAACCACCTCCGTATGACAAACTGACAGATGAGTGATGGTAGTTCATATTAGAATTATTTGTGTAAGCCCTTTATATGTAAGCAATGCCCTAAAGCAGAAATCTACAGATTTATGCTCAGCAAAACAATAAATTCTGTTAAGAATCTCATTTTTGTAACATCACCTACGAGAATCTAGGAGCTTAGCTCTTTCTCCCAAAAAGCAGGATAGACAAGTCTTTGACCCTAAAGGCCATGCCACTTAGAGACCAGATTCAGGCTCATCCATGTCATGTAACTTGGCACTGTCCTTCTTTCTCTGAGTCAAATGTCTAGCAAAAAGTTTTTCCCTTTGTTGATTGCCTCTGGATGGCCAGAAGGGAGAAAGGCAGTTATATGGGGGCTACACCCAACATCAAGGAATGCAATTAAAGGACAGCTATACAAAAATCTGTCTTTTGTACAAACAGAAAGCCCCTTAAAATCGAGGATGGCAAGCTTAGTCTCTAATTCTTTGGACATGTTTTTAGGAAGTACCAGGCCCTGGAGAAAGAAAGACATTATGCTTGATAAAGTGAAGGGTCAGCAAAATAAGGAAGTCCCCCAACAAATTGAATTGACACAGTGGTAGCAGCAATGAGCTTAAACATGACAATTGTGAGGATGATTGCAGACCAGGCCGGGTTTAGTTGTATTGTCTTGATGGCACCTAACAATAACATACCCTTCACAAGGTAAAGATTGTAATGTAGTAATTCTGGACTCCCAAAGAACTGAGAGTACATTTTATAGGCCAAATGAAAGTAAGCATAAACATCTGTATATATGGGAATCAACACAAAAAATTTACTATATATGGTTCTATGCTTAGAAGGACATGTGAAAGGAACTAAAGATTGGGAATTTTTTCCCTCTAGTTTCTCATGGTTATGGAACTTGGCTGTTAGAACCTCCAAGAAGGGATTGCTTTCTGCTAAGCTTGAAGGGGAAGAAGTCTTCAGATCTTCTTGTTGCCTGGACTGTGACAAGGCTTCATACAGCAAATGTGGTGGTGATTGGTATGTTGATTTTCCCAGTCTCCTAATTTTCACCTGTGTTTTGTCTTCCTTATTTTCCAGGAAGCAGAATGTGCTTACACACTCTTTGTTGTTGCCATATTTTGGCTCACGGAAGCTTTGCCTCTGTCAGTAACTGCTTTGCTGCCTGGTTTGATGTTCCCCATGTTTGGAATCATGCCTTCTAAAAAGGTAAGTCTTTTGGATATGTTTGTCACAATTAGATCCCCCCTTTTGTGCTGATCTTTCCATCAAGACAAGTAGTTTTTAAATTATTATGAAAATATAGATACATAACACTTGCTAATTTATCTTTTTCTGGTTATTTAATTCAGTGAGACTGATTATATCAATCATGTTGTGCTTCTATCTCCAATATTCTTCGCCAAATTTTCAGGGTCACTATGAGTCAAAACTGACTCAACGACACTTTTGTTGTTGTTAAGTGCTGTCGAGTCGGTTCAAACTCAAAGCGACCCTGTACAGGTTTCTATGGAGTGACTGGTGAGTTTGAACTGACGACCTTATGATTAGCATTCTAGTGCTTATCCTACAGCACCCCACAGTCACTGTTAAACTCTGATCTCTATTTGCCTATTCTAGGGACTTCATAGTGTAGTGGTTATGAATCGGGCTGCGAACCACAAGGTCAGCAGTTCGAAACTACTAGCTTTTCTGTGGGAGAAAGATGAGGCTTTTTGCTCCTGTAAAGATTTACAGCCTCAGAAACCCTGTAGAGAGTCACTATGAGTCGGAACCGACTCCAAGCACATAACAACAACAATAGGGACTTCATACAATAAATGTTCTTTAGTGATGCGTTATTCCAGTCAGCATATTTTCAAGGTTCATCTATCTTCTGGCCTGTAGTAGGACCTCATTTCTCATCATGACAGAGTTAATATTCCATTGAGAGTCCCTGGGTGATACAAATTGTTAAGTGCTCAACTACAAGCTAAAAGTTGGCGGTATGAACCCACCCAGAAGCTCATCAGAAGACAGAGTTAGCTATCAGCATAGTATTATCGGAAAGGTCAAAGCCGTGTAATCCTACAGAGCAGCTCTACTCTGCACACATAGGTGACCGTAAGTTGGAATCAACCAGTAATAACATTATTCCACTGAATATATATGAAACCTTTTGTTCATCCATTCATCCACTGATGGATATTTGAATTGTTTCCTACTTTGGGCTATTGTGAAGAGTGCAGCACTGAACACTGGTGTAAATGTGGCTGCTCATGTCACTGCTTCGGAGCCTGAGAAGAGTTGTTCTTTCTTCAAAGGAACAATCATCCTGTTATTGTTAAGTTCCATTGAGTCGGTTCCGACTCACAACCACCCTATATAGGGTTTTTGAGTAGCATGTGGTGAATTTGACCTAACCTTGCAGTTAATAGTCCACTGCTTATCCTAAAGTTCCACGCCAGGACTCCAATCATCCTGTTGACAAGGTTCAAACACAAGTCCTCCAAATTTCTAGACACTGCTTCCTTTAGGATTTGGTATGTGTGCCCAATTCCGGGAATTGCTGTAGGCTACAGTGTCTTGAATCATGACTGCTAGTAGGAAATGGCAGGTCGCTCCTTTCTCTGGACCATGTCTGTGCCTCACAGGATCCATACCTGCTGTGTTTCCCCCACCACTCAAGGGGTAACTCTTTTGCATCCTGCATTAGCTTTTCCATTCAACAAGATTCAGTCTCACATAGTGTTGGAAAAACAATTTTTGTTTTAATGATGAGAAAGCTCCCCTATTTTCTTTCTCAGAAAATTGACATTTCAAAAGATAAAGGCAAATGAACTTTCCTGTGTGCTTCTATTTTGCACTTGCTGAGAGGAGTTTATTCCTGCTGAGAGGTGGTTCTTACCTTCATACAATCTCAGGGCACCCATGTGAAGAAAATGGATTTGGTTTCCCATTAAAAACATGAAATGCATGGAGATCAGAATATCTATCTCCATGCAATCTCCTGTCACCCAACACACAATAGCTGCCTAAACCACAGTTCAAACATTCTCAGGAAAGATGTCAAATTCAAAATGCCAGTCCTTGCAATTCATCACCTTTGGACTGCTATTTGCTTGAACCCAATAGTGCTATCTTCAGACTCATCCATCTTGTAATGTTGGTGGAGATTATTCCATTAGCTAACCCTTTTACACCATGCTTCTTGGGAAACAACTGTCTCCTTTCTTATGTTCACATCCCTTTTCCCCACATTGAAGCCCAAGTCCAATTTTGCACATTTATGATTCTTTCCTCTCTGCTTATTGAATTTCCCCCTCACTGCTAATTTAAATTTCTTTCTTTCTTATCTTTAACTGGACTCCTGGTATGGTGCTATAGGATAAACACTGGATTGCAAACTACAAGGTCAGTGGTTCAAACCCACCAATGACATCTCAGAAACCCTATAGAGGGTCTCTATGAGTCAAAAGCACTTAACAGCAACAACAATCTTCAACTAATTTGAAATAGAGAGTACCTCAGTTCCTCTAGCCCTCGGGCTGAAGCTCTCTTCCCTCATGGCACCTGGGATCTATAATTTAAGAAGTTTCTCCAACAGTTCAACATACCTTATTTATGTTATTGAGAAAGAGAATATAAAAATAAGGGGCTGACAACTTCTCAAAAAATAATGCCAAGTTGTTAACCACTGTCTTGATAACTTGGGTAATCCTGTCTTCAGAAAGAGTTAATCTTAACATCTTAACAGTCACTCATTTTTTCCTCATGATTAAATAAAAAATAATCTGACAAAACATATTAAAAAACAAAAACAAAAAACAGACTGAGGTCGAAATGAGATGAATTTAGCGATGGGGCATTTCTGTAGCAAGCAGGCCTAAGTGGGCTGCTTTGGGAGGAGCATGGAACCATTAGACGGAAGTAGGAGGAATCGGGGGCATAGGGGTCCTGACTAGATGGAAGCTGCCAAAGATATGCCTCTGTCACCTGAGGTGTCTGGGGCCTGAATAAAGGAGCCACATTTTGGATGTCAACAGCACTGGTGGCCCTTAGGCTGCTTGTTCCTACCCCAAATCAGAAACCAAACCCATTGCTGTTGAATTGAATTTCAACTCATTGTAAATTCCAGCTCAGTGAACACACAGGACGAAGTAGAACTGCCTCACAAGGTTTCAGAAGTGTGGTGCTGTGGTTGCAAAGTCAGGCTGAATCACAAGCTCACCAGCCGCTCCTTGGAAACCCTATGCAGGGTCGCTATGGGTCGGAACCAACTCGACTGCACTAACCAACAGCAAGAACACTTTGATGGAAGCAGACTACCCTATCTTGGGCCTGCTGAGTTAGCAACCGAGCCCTTAACCTGTGTAGCACCAGGGCCTCTTTAAGACCTACCCAAGAGTCCTTTATTCTAAAAGGTGCCTACCTTACACTAATTTAATAGTCACAGATTCTTAGAGTTGGGAGGGAGCACTTCTGGGTCAACCCCATCCTAGACAAGGATTCGCTCCACAATATCTCTTGCAGATTAGATGATGAAGCAAGTGCTTAATGTGTGTGAGCATCTAATACCCCATAAAGAAATTTTCACCAGTTTTGAATCATTGTAATTCTTAATTTTTAAGGAGCCCTGGTAGTGCAGTGGTTAAGCACTCAGTTGCTAGCCAAGAGATGGACAGCTTGAACCTTCCAGTCACTCCACAGGATAAAGACACGGCAGTCTGTTTCCATAAACATTTACAGTTGGAACCTATGAAACGCTTCTGTTCTGTCCTATGAGTTGAAATTGGCTCAAGGGCAGAGGTTGGATGGAACTCTAAGCTTTATTGAGTCCTTTTCCTGAGAATGGTCCAGTAACACACAATTCTGAATCTTGGTCACTTTCATTCATTAAACCTTTCTCTAACATCTAGGATCTCAAATAAATCTCATATTTCTTCCACAAGGTAATGTTGCTTGGATTTGAAAGAAATGCCATTTCCCCTTATAGTCTTCCCCACTTGTCTCCATGGTTTGTAGAACTCAATTATAGTCTCCAACCTCTCACCACTTCCAAATACCATCATCTTATTTTCCTAGAACTAACTTGACTTTGTCAAGGATTCTTAAGAATGAAATTAATTAATAAACATGACCTCTATCACATAGTAGGCACTCGTTATGTCAATTAATATTCTCATTATTTGTACATTTTCAAAATTGAATAGATCACTCTCCAAATATTCTGACAGTTACAAAGCTCCTTGAGACTATTCTGTCCTTTCTAGTATGTCAGACTTGTTTTTGTTTTAAACTTTATATAATGTCTTCACACAGTTAGTCTAATTACAAAGATAACAGGGTATTATGGGAGGAGCAATAACTTTAGTCAGGAGATCTGAGTTTAAAACCTAATATCTACCATTGATTGTGCATCTGAACCTCATCATGTTTCTTAATGCTACTGACTTTTTCTCTCATCTGTAACTGGGAAGTGACAATGTCAAACCACTGAAGGAATATTGTAGCAATAAAATCAAATTATATCTGTGAAACAATGATTCAAATCAAAGAGTTCTTCTGAGTTTTTATATTCACAGTAAAGTTATTTTGGTAGGTTTAAACAATCATTCCAGCCTATTGCAGCATCTCTGAATCTTAAATCCATCATCAAATAGGACAACATGTCTTTAATGTCCTCATGGAAGTTTAGAACCCTACACACCATTATTCCGGTAGCGTAGTGGTTATGAGTTGGGCTGCTAGCCTCAAGTTCAACAGTTAGAAACTCCTAGCCATTCCATGGGATAAAGATGAGGTTTTCTGCTCCAGTAAAGATTTATAGCCTCGGAAATCCTACGCAGGGTCGCTATGAGTCAGAACCAACTCCATGGCACACCACCATCACCACCACACACCATTATTTTTGTGTACCACTATTATAATTTTATCTGTTAAACCAATGCTTATATTTTGCTGCACTTATTTGTACTTGAAGTATATCAACAGTATTGAATTTTCTCCTCTCTGTTGGATTTAACCTGAAATGCTAAATATTTAGAGTGTAGCCAATATATAATGTTCCAAAATATGCATCATCAATACTATTGAAAATATGTGTATGTTTAAATTTTACAAAAATAGCTATATATGCATATATAAATTTTACATTTATATGTACAGATGCTACATTATTTATTAAGACTTTATTAAATATTTATATGCTAGGCACTCTGCTAGGCACT